GGCGGCCCGGGGCTGGGCTGTGGGGGTCAGGCCGGGTGCGCGTTTGGGCAGCCGGGTCGGAGCTGACTGGAAACGGGGATCCGGATTTGAAGTGCCGCGGTTAAATGCTCGACCGGCCCCGAAGGACGCGTTCTCCGGTGGTTGATGTCCGCGGGTCCCGGGCAGCTGCCTCGGAGCAGCACCCGCAGTTCAGCGCCTCGTTACTGGGTTTAACGGCGGGGTTAGCAGACGGCAGCCTCCGGCCTCTGTCCTGCCTCCCTGCTGCTGGCCTCTGCCGGGGAATTGCCGCTTAGCTGGGGGAAAAACCGCCGAAAATGACACTTCAAAAAAAATCACTGGGTTTTTGTAAACACGTTGGAAGTATCACCATGACAAAAAACGTGGAAGGGCTGATTGCCTTTTCCTTGCCCTTTGGGTTTAGAGATGACTGATATTACCACTTGGAAATACTGTGTGTCAGCTGCATTAACTGGTTGTATGCACGCTTCCAGCCTGCCGGAGGTTCAAGATACAGCAAACAATGCCTTAAGCTTCATAAAGGTGTTCAAAACCCACTTGTTCTACTCCTGTCTCATTTTGTTTTAACCTGAGATTTGTTTTCTAAAAAACGCTTGTCCTTGTTTTTGTCAAAGCGCACTGATGTACAGCCGAGCTGTGGATAAGCCAGGAGAGTGCAGTCAGCCGTGTGTGACTGGTACGACGCAGTAACTGAAGCCTTGGTGGAAAAGGGTGGTGCAAAAACAGCGGAGGGCAGGCTGGTGTGAAAGCTAAAGGCACTACCTAGAGTGTTATCACAGCTCAGCGGGTGCACAGTAGCTTGCTATGTCATAGTAATGCAAAACATGCTTTTGACCCGACAAGAATAACTTTAATTCAAGCAGCAAAGAATGTCCTTATAACCTGGAAGCAAGGAGGAAAGAGGATGTGTAAATACTATGTTTGGAGCTGTCTGACTTTGTGATGTTTGGTATTCCTAGCCAGTAATCATCCCTGTTCCTCAGTAGGCTTTCCCAGAAGATGTTTTTGTAACAAAACCTCTTGCCCCTTAATTTTATAGGTGCTCTGTGGGGGGCGAAGCTGAGCTGAAAGGCCACCACAGCCATCTTCACCAAGGTAATACTTCAGCTTCTGGCATTAAGGACCTAGGAAATAATCCCGCAGGTATGTTATAAAAGTATATAGCAACCAATAACTGCCAGTTGTATTTTACAGGCAGAACATTATTCTACAGTTGTGAACTGGCATTGCTATGACACTAACAGACAAGAATTTTGCTTCTTGCTTACGCCATAATTTCTTGAGATTCATTTTTTTGATGTAGCTCTTCCCAGTGCAGGAAGTACGAGCCCAGAGTATGATTATGTATTTCAAAGAGAGTAACAGCAGAGGGAGCATGATTTACCATTTAGTATAAGAAGTTTTTCATTCTAGGTTTAAGTCAGGAATCTAGTCTGTTTATAATTTCCATGCTGTGCATATTGGCAAACTTCCAAAGAACCAAGCTGTAAACACAGATATTTTTCCTATGACTAGTTCTGATTTTTATGTATGGTTTTCGGTATGCCTGAGAAATGAGAATGTAGAGTATGGTAGGGGGCAGGTTCTAGGGTGATCTTAGAATAAAGTCAACCCCTGCACCTCTGAGATAATGTCTGATTTTAATTAAATTGCTGATATTAATTGAAAGAAACAGTTCACTGATGGTAGACCATTTTTATTTATAAAAACCTCCTTTTTTCTAACGGGAAGACTTTTTTAATGCTGTACGAGCATATGGAAGGTTAAGTAGCATGATGTACTAAAATTATGGGCTTTGCCCAGTAAAATGCAGTCTAAATTCTAATGCTGAAAAATAAGCTCTAGTGGGAAAGGAGCATGCAATCTTGCTGTCTGGTCTTTGCTGACAGTGTGGGATTTGACTCCGGTCTGTTTCATATGGGATGAGCCTGCAGATGCTGCAAAGTACGATGCAGGCAGATTTGCTGTTCCTTAGACTAGCAGGAATTTTCTTGCCTGCTGGAGTGCAGAAGAAATGTTCTTTACTATGGTTTTAAAAAAAACCAACTGTTGGGAACTAATCAAGATGCTTATAGTTTCTAAGGTTATTACAATGAAGGGTAACCAGCCATTCTATATTTGCAGAAATGCATGCAGTTGTATGAATGTACTGTATCCTTGTTAATGCGTGCAAATGAAGAGCTTTTCCTCCTTTTCTTTTGGCTTGCCTTGAAAAATACAAGGTAATCATGTTGTGTTATTTGCTAGGCAATTATAATTGTTTTCAGATGCACATTAAACCCTTTGGCAAGAAAGGTAGTGATGTTGGCATAAGCTGTTTTGAGCAGTAAATCCAGTGTGTACTGGAAGAAGGAGCTGGGAAGCAGTTATTTGATGGTGAAGAGAACTTACTTGCGAGGAGGCACCGAATACTGAAAGGGAGCGATGCCTTTCGTGTCTCCCTGGGTATGACTGAGAGCTAGCTATTTGTAGCAAGGTAACTAACTGCATGCTGCACTGGCAGTGTTGTGAATCCTGATGTGAGGTTCAAGATATGATGGTGCAGTCTGGGTGGGGCGCTGACAGGCATTTAAATCCAAAGTTCTTTGGTCAGAGGAGTGGTTGAATGTCGGAGCATCTGAGTTCATGTGGGTAATGAATTACTTGTTTCAAAGTCTTCAGCCAATGGTGAAGGTTTGCTTTCTTAGGATAAAATTAATGTTTCCTTACTATTTAATCATTTTAAATAGTTTTATAGCTGCTGTAATGTGCCAGGCGTCTCCTGGCTCATGTGTCAGGCTAATCTGCAAGACTTGAAATACTGCTACAAGCTCGATGTTTTTTATGGCTGCTTTTCTTATAGAGATACTCAGAAGCTCTTCCTTGGTGTCATGGTTTAACCCTGGCCAGCAACTCAGCCCCACCCAGCTGCTTGCTCATTCCCCCCGGTGGGATGGGGGAGAGAATTGGAAGAGTAAAAATGAGAACTCACAAGGAATTCATTCACTGCTTCCCATGGGCAGGCAGGTGTTCAGCCATCTCCAGGAAAGCAGGGCTCCATCACGCGTAACGGTGACTTGGGAAGACAAATGCCATTGCTCTGAACGTGTCCCCCCTTCCTTCTTCCCTCAGCTTTATATGCTGAGCATGATGTCCTATGGTGTGGGATATCCCTTGGGTCAGTTGGGGTCAGCTGTCCCAGCTGTGTCCTCTCCCAGCTTCTTGTGCCCCCCCCCCCAGCCTACTCGCTGGTGAGGTGAGAAGCAGAAAAGGCCTTGGCTCTGTGTCAGCACTGCTCAGCAGTAACAAGCATCCCTGTGTTATCAACGCTGTTTCCAGCACAAATCCAAAACACAGCCCCATACTAGCTACTATGGAGAAAATTAACTCTACCCCAGCCAAAACCAACACACTTGGCAACATCCTGAAAATCTGTTTACAATTTAGCCCATCTTTTGGCTCTAAATAAGTATGTAAGCAATCTTGCAGTTTTTTGTTTGTACTATTTTCCACTTAAATATAATTAGCCTCATCTACAGCCATTAACACTGATAGCAAGTTGTTGCTGACTTTTGAAGTGCCACTGTTTGTGGAGGGGAAAGGGGATGAAGCCAGCTGTGCAGTCAGTTCAGTACTTCCTGCTGTGTCTGCAAGCAATGAGACAGTGGGTGGAAGGCACTGGCCTTTGGAGAAACGCCAAACAAACCTGTCTCATCCAAGAGTCCAACCTCAAATTGCTGCTTGAGGGTGGACCATTCTTCAGAGCCTGGCATGTGGACCTCAACTGTATATGCACCAAGAACCCATCTGTGGCCTGAGGTGACTTGGAAGTAGTGATTTGCTTGTTAGATTTCACCATGATACTTTAAATTTAGATACAATGTGGAAGCAGCTATTTTAGCAGTGATTTTCCAGGTGTCTTTAATAGCATAGGCAAGCACAGAAGAGGAGACAGGCTGTAACCCTTATTGGTGTCATCAGCTTGTAAGTTGTTGCATTGTGATGGTTCAGAAAAAATGGTGTATTAATGAGATTTTGACAGTATCTAGTTATGATACTTGTCTCACAAACTTTATTCCCCTGTAACAAAGTGTGGGTATAGGTCTAAGAATGGAACCAAACCAGGGAATAGTAGTCTGTCCTAATTGCTTGGAAGAAAGCATTGCTGTATGCTCTGGAAAAAAAAACAAACACAAACCAAAAACCTGGAAGAAATAGAAAACTAGATCTGTTAAGAGTAATGAAAATTCGTCATGAAGGAAATGTCACAGAGAATGTCTGATGACCTCAGATATTGACACAGCAGTGACTTCTTCTGTGATCTGTGCTCAGTATTGGTAACATTCTGAAGCAGTGAGTTGGCAGTCTGCTGACCAGTGATGGTACGCAGGTTTTTGGCTGTAAATTCATATGGATCAATGAAGTATTGCACACTTAGTGCTTTCTCTTCACTTTTGAGCTATCTGCTATACCTGTTTTAGCTGTCATCCAGCTGCATCGCTATCTTGAATGTGAACTACCTTGGAGTGGCTGTGAGGTAATGTCACCTGAGTTTTGGGGATCGGAGACTGAAATATAGACTTAGAAAGAAATGCGTTCACAGGGGCTGAAATCAATCCTGTGAAGCTTTTTTCCCCCCACCTAGTCTCTGGAGAGAGATGTGACCTTGCTGGTAGCAGTTTGGAGCAGCTAAATCACATTCCAGTTCCATACCTCCCCTGGAGAAGCCTGACAGCAAAGGGAGTGCTGTCATGTCTAAGTGGTGGAGTGGAAGAATACTGTGGCTTTTTTCTGGAGTTCATGTGATCAAAATGAAAGTTTACAATACAGCAAGAGTCTCACTCTGGCCTGATTTGCCATAATAAGCAACAATAAGGGGTGTGACTTACTCTTTAAATTACATGGGCTGGCCTTATGTTGGTTCCACTTAGTTTAATTCTTCTGCATAAGAAGTCTGTACAAATTTGGAGCCTGGATGAAGGACTCACTTTTGTTAGTCCCTGTTCTAGTTAGGCTGTCAGGCAGTTGAAGGGTTTCTTCTGACTTGTTTTGTTCTTCTGAGCACACCCTTATCTGGGAATGAAAACTGACATCAGGAGTGAATGATCAGCCATGAGATAGTGCAACTCACATCTCCAATTACTTACCACGTGTGCTACTTCTATTACATTTTTTAAAAAAAGCTGCAGAATGCAAATCAAGTCCCCTTACACACCGTTGTGCCAACTGAATGGTACTTGCTGAGGCTCTTTTGTGGGGTGAAGGGGGAGAAAGGGGTTCATGTTTTTTAGTCCCTCTAGCTTCAGCATATGTGAGTAGATGTGCTGCCTCCTGTATAAAGGAAGGCTCTGGGAGGATCACGCTCTTGTTCTGTGACATACAAAAGAGGCTGCAGCCTATCAGTTTGATCAGAAGTGGGAGCCCTAAAGGGACTGGATGAGTAATAGGTATTTGTTTCCTCTTCTGACCTGAAAAAAGTCTTCTCTTTAGCTTGTGTGGGAGCTGGCTTGAATGCCCCATGACTGGATATGAAATTCAGAGTGGGTGAGAAACTGATAACCCTGGTAGATGTGCAAGTAACTTTTCTTTTATAGGTCAGGTCCATGTTTTTATATCTTCTTGATTAAGAATTTTTAGAAAGCTTATTAAATAAAAGAATTCAGTCTAACTTGTGGAGAAAAATTCCATTCTGGTCTATTTTGTCTAGAAGAACCTTTTTTCCTTCTGCCAGTGCTCTCTGAAGTCTGACAGCACTCTTTCCAGTGGGAGCAATGATTCATTGAGGTCTTACGCTCCTAAAGAAGTGTTTGTACTGTATCCATCTGGTTGGCTTTTTAGCTCTGCTGGCTGGGCACATCCAAGGGAAGGAAAGGAGCAAAGCATTAAGTATTTGTTACTGTATGCAGAGAAGTTTAGCTCTATCAGTGTTGCTGGAACAGCTTCTCGCTACAGTGAGAACTGTCTCTCAGGTAAGGCAGTGGTGTGAGTGCTGATCTCCGAGGAACACATGGCCTCAGGATCCCTGTGCTGATGGCACTTGATGTAGCCTGATGAGCCAGGGCAGTATGCTCGTTGTCCTGGCCGTCTTATAGCCCTAGCTCAGGGCAGCATGAACTGCCTGCTCTCAGTTCCTGCATGGGGGGGTTCTTGTAGGCCACAAGCCTTCTCAATCTGTTGCAGAGAAATGTCACTATTCTCACTTAAATAGAAGGAGATCTTAAATTCACCTGTCTGGCATGTTTTTGTTATTTGAAGATGCTGTTGAAAAAAAGCCAGGAACATAGGCAGTATTTGTCCTACACAGACTTCTTACCTGGCATTTTTGTGCAGCTAAGTTCTTCCATTTTCTGTTTGAATAAAACTCATTGTAAACACTTGTCTCAATTTAGTTATTGAGGTAGGAGGTGCTAATGCCCCCTCTGCCTCTCTTACCCTCTTTGTTAGCAGATGGTTTAGCTATGGTGGGGTGGGCATGCATGCGTGTGTGTATGCACACATGCTCGTGCTGTCCAAGAATGTGGTTATAACATTATGTTCAGCCTCCTGTAATTAATTATTTGTGCTGGTTTTCTGAGTAACATCTGTGAAAAGAATGTGTACAAACAATTTGAAAACCCTGCAGCCAGGTGTCCTGCTTGTTCAAGTGAAAGCTGATTTCTCTGTTTACTGAGGCTTCTGTTTATTGACTCAAGTAAATCTGAGTAGGATGGCAAAGCTGTTAAAGATCTGCTATAAAGACAAGCTGCTAGCTGTAGTAACTGTTCTTCTTGGCAGATATCCTCAGCCATGAGAGAACATGGTAGGGAGGTGCAGGGTAGAGAATGTAGAGTTGTGTTGTTTTAACTGGAAAATTCCCTTGTAATTGTTTTGCCAGGCTTTGGGTAGTGCATCCAAAAAACCACTCCATGAAACGACGACAGACTATGCAGATGGACAGTTGTGGCTTAATATATCCAAATTAATGTACTTCCCAAGTGTTCTTGACTTGCTGCGCTTTCTGCTACATTGCTTGTTGTGGCTTTTAGTATTGGCAGACCTCTGCATGGTACTATTCATTCAGCTTTACTCAATTCTCAGATTACCCATGTACTAGTTCTGAACTAACTTAAACAGCAGTTTGGGAATATGCGGTTTGCAGGGGGGTGAGAAACAGAAGAGGGAAAGGAGAAGACTTATTATGATGCTGTGAGACATTTTCCTGCTTACTCATGCTTTGCAAACTGTTGTGGCAAATGTTTCTGATTCCTCATGTAGTCTCTTAAAGCAATCAAAAGAATAATTTAAAAACAATCATCTTGCCATCTGATAATACATAGCAGAGAACAGAGCTATTTCTAATGTTCTTAGTGATTGTAGTATCACTGACGGTGTGTTTGGTGTTCATGTCCATGGCACCGGTGAGCTGAACTGAGGGTGAGGGCTTCTATCATGCTGTGGGATAGAAAAACTGAGAAGGAAAGGACGGTATCCACCTGCCACCTCCTGTCTCATGTTGTGCAGGCAGACATGTGGAGCCCAAGGGAACAATGAGCTAGAGTTGTCCCAGAATTATCTTATTTTAATACCTTCCCACTTGCTGCATTGCTTGAAATTTTAGGATGTTGCATGTATTTTCCCTTCCCTTCTCCCCTCCATCCCCCTTTCTCAGCAGATTTAAGTGATTCCATTTTGCCCCAAATAGCTGCACATTGTTTAATGTATCTGGAGTAAGAACGGGTTGCAACTGGTCATTTCCAGCCACCAGTTTACCCAGTTATAATGGGTAGGAAAAAAAGAACTGCTTCTTGAATTAAGGTGAACAGTTGTCATCTTCCTTTTGATACTGTGTGCATGGGTGTTCTGAGACCTCAGTGTTTGCTGAGCAGCAGTGCTCGTACGTCAGGGCTGGCTGTGGTGGCTGTTCTGCTCAGTGAACAGGCAGCTCTGGAGTGAGCTGTGGGCTGATCCAAGTGCAGTGCAGGTTCCTCATAATTCCCTGGAAGAGGCAGCCCTGGCCATCAGATCTACCAGGAGAATTACAGCTCCCAGGAGGCTCTTCTGTATGGACCTTGCATCCCTTGCTTCACTCGTCTACTACCTCGTCTGTCTGTCTGCTCAGACTGGCTTTCCCTTCCATGCCCTTGGTGGGCTGTGCTCTTAGAGATGTAACAGTCTGCTTTCAGTCTCCATCTCGAGGGGCTGGGTTTCTAAGCTGGCACAGCCTTTGAAATACAGAAGTCATAAGGGCTGTACCCAGCGGCCAATATGCTGGGATGATGCATCTTGAATAAGTAGAGTTGGAAATTTCAACTTTTCCAACCATCACTGCCACTTCCAGGCTACAAAAAGCTATATTTCTCTATTTGGCTTTCTCACTATTTGTATTTCTAGAAAGTTTTTATATAACTGAGTTTCACAGCATGCGAAAAGTCTGACCATTTAATTTAGACTATTATTATTGGAATATAATACAACTTTGTATACTCTCCTATTTTCCAGCTATAATTATGCATGAAGTGGAAGGCATTGAGCTGCCCTTGCAGAACATCTTGTTCTCACTGTCTCTGTGGACAAATATATTGATTCCATTACTTCTGTCATGTGGGCCTTCCACGGGCTGCAGTGACTTCCATGTAAATCCCAAAGAGTATACCAGATAGCATTTGAGACTTAAGTAACAGCTCCTGTGGTTGAAGAAGACTTTTATCAAGCTTTACTGATTAGAATTCAGTATTTCAAGGATCTAAATCATTTTCATGAGGGTGAAATGACTGAAGATGAAGATTAATGCCTTGGGGGGTTTTTTCCTCACAAGTTAATAATTTTTACTCCTTTTCCTTCTTAATTTGTTACAGATTTGAGCTATCTGGAAGATGAAGCCCTGGCTGCAGTTAGTGTTCTTTACCTGTATTTTCTTGATCTGGCACACAGAAGCAGAGTTCTTCACCTCCATAGGTATGGAAAGAACCAATGCATGATGTTGTGATGTAGTTAACAGGATTGCCAAAACTCTTAAAGGTTACAGTTGAAGCGTGTGGCTTTCTTCATATGGCCCTGTCAAACACTGTCCGCACTAGGAAAAGCTACTCTTCTGTATCCTTGATGTTATTCTGCATTGCAAGTCTTGCATGAGTGCAGTTTGTTTGCAGTTGGGTAGCTTAGCACATTGTGACCAACATGATACAAGTCTCTCTGGGGGCTGTGTGAGTAAAATAAGACAGTGCCTGTGTTTTAGTAAGACCTGTGCACCTGTTGTAGTCTTGAACACAGCACAAACCTTATGTGAAAAAGCTTAGTCCTGAATTTATGATTTATGAAGAGAATTTAAGTGTTAAATATGTGAAATATTTTCTTTCACAGAACCTGAAATCTTCTGTCTTCTCAAAAAGTTGGAGTTAGGTATCGGAAGGAAAAATTAATATCCCCCTTTATGTGTGTTTTGTAAGACCTGAGTAAATCCTGAAGAATTCACATTGTTATAAATCCTGAAAATAGATTGATTTTTATGACAATTTAGTTCTTGTGTTCTAATAGCTGTGATACAACCATGTGTGATTGTGGTAGAGCCTAAAAATAAGCACAAACTGAGTTTTCTGCTGTGACTTAGTCTGATGTTTTCCTGTGGAATAGTGTGGGGAATTTACCCCCATAAGGATAATAGAGATTGATTGACTACAACTGGCTGTTCTCCAGAATATGCTTTGAGCTCACTGGAGCTATGTTTCTGAATCATAAAACTTAAAACTCCGGGCGGTCTTTGCACCACTGTGTGGAACTGCTCAGCCAGAGCAAGGCAGAGTGGTGTTTCACTACCAACCCCCAGCACATGCTCCTGTGCTCTGGGGTTGGCTAAACAGTATTTAACTATGTGTTATTTGGTTCTCTTTTTTTCTTAAGTAGCTTTTTGTACAAAATTACTGTGAAGGATCACCTTTTCTTTACTTACCTATTCCTGAACCTTTCCTAACTCTGAAAATAGCACAGCCTGCTGACTTCCATCTGCTTAATCATGCCTCATTAATAATTACTTTGGAATGCTGAAACTAAAGCTGTGGCTGCATTTATAAATCTCATCTGATCTTTCAGTGTTTGGTCTTTGAAAAGCAAAGTTTGTCATAGTGATTAGGATTGATGTGCTTAGCAATTTCCACTAATACTAATCAGGAGAGGGTGTGTGTGTCAGTCTATAAACATTAGTCTGAAATTCCCCTGTACTTAATGTTAGGTTGTGTTTCCACAGTTACCCATATTGAAAAGCTGTAATTTTAAGTGATGCCAATGGTTAGACTAATAATTTGTTAGTGTGACCTAATCTGTATTATGTAGAACAGATGCTCTGGCAACTACTTGGATCTTTCGTTGCTTTGACTTAACTGTATTAATGTCAAACCTTTCTTTTGATTGTCTTGCATACAATTGTAATACTAAAAGTAATTCAGAGGCAGTGGAAGGGTCACAGCCAAGCTACGTGAGCCATTGAAGTCGGGATTTTAAAAGCCCCTTGAAGCATTTGAATGCCAGACCTGTATGTATAATAGCTTTTGTGGTTTGCAGGCATTGAAGTGCACACCCTTAATTTGTCTGTTCTTTGTGGTGGTTTTAATAGCCCCAGAGCATCTAAGGTCTGTCGTCTGTGCTGTTGGAAATTGTTAATTTTTTAGATCTGACTAACATTTGCTCGTACTCTGTTTTTTAGGTCAAATGACAGACCTGATTTATGCGGAGAAAGACTTGGTACAGTCTTTAAAGGAATATATCCGAGCGGAAGAGAACAAGCTCTCTCAGATTAAAAGGTAGGGGGAGAGGTTTGCATAAAGAAGGGTGACAAAATGGCTCATCCGTATTCAATTACACCACACTTTTCTGTCATCACTCTTTGCTAATGATCTTGTTAGTATTTCCTCAGTAGATAATCACAGTGAGACCATAGGTACTAACTTGGTTGTAATTTATTCCCATAAACCTGCAGAGAGGGGGCCCTGCTTCAGATATCGTTTAGACTTCGTCTGCTTGTTTAGAAACTGTTGTCTGCTGGGCTCTTCCCACTTTTCCCTGTCCTTGTACCATCACAGTGCTCCCGTGGAGAAGACACTACTCATGTCAGAGGAGCCTTGTCCATGTGAGTTAAATGCCTCTGACATCAGTGCTCTGTGCTACCTGTTGTTTCACGGCATCAGCACTGCTTACAACAGCAAAGGGTGCCAGCTGCACACACCAAATTCCCGGCTTCCTTCCCAGGTTGGCTTTGCTCTCAGGGACAGTTCCCCTGCCTTGTTCTCTTCAGTCGCCGACCTGGCTACAGCACATCTCGGACATTATCCTGTTTGCTTGGATCACTTGAAAGGCTCTTGCTGACAACTGGTATTTTCTGTGTCCCTTAGGAAGACGGTTAATACTTATCTAGCTGAAAGTAATATCTAATAGGGCGTGACACTAGAATAGTCTAAATGAGGTCCAGGTTCAGAAGAGCTGAGTGCCTCTAAATGGAGCCATGCTTTCCAAAGAATTTCTAAACTCAGGCTGTATGTGGCAGTTTGATATCCTTTTGGGGGTGTAGGGTGGGGACGGGACTATGGAGTAAGTGAAATGATATGAATTCCTTGTCACTTGTACAAACAAATGTTCATTTCTTGAAAAGCTGCCCTTCAGAAGAAAAGCAATCTCCTCTTCAAGTATTGTTAAAGAGAATGTCAGTTCAATCTATGTATAAACTGGTCTTTTCCCTCAAAAAAAGTCTCCAGTTCAATCTATGTATAAACTGGTCTTTTTTTTTTCCTCAAAAAAAGTCTTTTTTTCATGGACTGACATATGCAAGTGCCTTTTTAATGTGTTGAATTTTCAGTTGACTTGTATTTTGGTGTATTTGTAAGCAAGAGTATTCTACCACTGTGTCAATATTTGAGCCCTTGCACCCTGCTAGTGTATGAGGCCTGTGCTTTGTAACAGAGGTGCTAAATTTTATCATTTGAATATGGTAATGCTTTTGGTATTTTGTCTGTTAGTTCCAGAGCTATCTTTATGATTCAAAAGCACATTGTGATGTGAATAAAGAGACCAGAACTTGACAGTTATTTACTGCTTTGCGAAATAAATATTAGAAGTAGTGAAAGTCTAAACTAAGAAGAGTGCAGGCGAGACTGGTCTTAATGTGTTGTTAATCTGATAACCCTGCAAAGGATCTCTGGAAAAACCATCTTACTTTTGTTCTGTTGCAACATCATAGTATAGAGAAGAAGGCAGGTGGGCTCAAAGGGGATGTTCAGTTATTAGCTTATCTCAGCAGAGTGTTTTCTTCCTATTGAGTACAGGGAGAGGAACACACAGTTGGGCCAGATGTTTGTGTTAAGGGATAATATGAAGGGCAACAGAAGAAATTCTCAGTGTAGCATCAGCAATGTAGTTGGCAGTTCAAATGTACTATAACAGCGGGTGAAGTTTCCCACTACTGCTTTGAAGCTGACCAACAGTGCAATCTAGGTGACTGGCAGCGTTGCCACTGTACTGTCTGAGGGTTTCCAGTCTGAAAGTCAAAGCTTATGATTTAGTTTCCATGAAGCTAAAAAGCTCTGGGGGGTTTATTTATGCTTCTATTTTTACTAAGATAGATAAATGACACTCACAGTGATTGTGTGCTATATCTCATTTTCTGAAGTGCAGTATGCTGAAAACTGATGGCTAAGACTCATTGCAAGTGAGATGCCTTCCTGCTGTAGTAAGGTTTAAAATAGTAAGCAGGGAAACAAATTCCTTTTAAAAGAAAGACTATTGTAATTAAAAAAATCAGTTGTACTTTACTTTATCCTTGTGAAGTTGAAAGCTGGTTATGATGGCGAAAGCAGCAATAAATTGATTCTAGCTGTGTAATGAGGATGACTTAAGAAGGAAGATATGAATTCATAAATTGTTCTCAGACTGAGGTGTATGCTTCTCGTTCCAGCTGGGCTGAAAAAATGGATATACTGACTAGCAAATCAACCTCTGATCCAGAAGGGTATCTGGCACATCCTGTAAATGCATATAAGCTGGTGAAGCGTTTAAATACTGACTGGCTGGAATTGGAAAACCTGGTTCTTCAGGATACAACAAATGGTAAGGAGTTAGAGGGGAGAAGATAGCAGTAGGAGGTAGCCTTACAACACAGTTGCTTATCCTCCTTGTATTCTGGAAAGCTGCAAACTCAGCTGTGGTTTAAATATTCTTGCCAAGTTTCTTTTGAAACTTAAACTAATGTCTGGTCTCTTGTTTACTCGTTACCCAAGTGAGTGAAACTTGCCACTGAAACACATCTGTCAAGACTCAGAAACCGTTATCTGTCTTAGGCCTGTTACATCTTGTTTGTCTTGTGCTGTTTGGGGCAAAGGGGAGAATAGGATGTACTAAAGTGGTGAGCTGTGTTGGCAACTATTGTTTTACGCCTAGTCTTGAGCTTTATGTTCTTTTATGTAAAAACTTACTCATCTGCTTTCCCAGTCTGCTGCTTCTCTTGGCGATCATTGTTTTTTTGACCATGTTGATCAGTAGATACGATTTAAGAATCAAAATGTGAGACCCATACTGAATTGGTGAAGGAATTCATATCAGCCCCAGCATTAACAGTTGGCAGATGTTGTAGTCAGTCTGATAACAGGATAATACACAATTGCTATCTGTAAACCTATCCTTCTATAAAATGTTTCCAGTACTAATCTTTGCTTTTGCATCATATTGTCAAAGTGTCTGCCTGAATTTGCTTCCATAGTTTATTTTTTAACTGCAGGTTTATTTTTACTGGACTCTTTAAAAGTAAGGGAGAAGAGGCTATGTTTTTCAGGCAGAACGCTGCATGTTTTCCCTTTCTACTCTGCATATGCTAAAGTTTAGGTACTTGGAAGTTTTTTCCAGCCAAGATTTTTGTTGCCTTTTGGAGTAGTCATCCTAGATGGAAATAAAATACTCAATTCTGAGTACTTCTGTCATTAATCATTTTTCTAAAGGCTTCCTTTTCCAGTTCTGCTTGCTGCATGACTAGAAATGGCTGGGCTGTTTTCCTTCAGTTGATTGCCCCTACTTCTGCCCACCAACCTGCTGTACAGCCTTGATACATTTATGTAGTGCATTTAATTTTATTTCTAGATGTCACCTGTTTTCACTTGTCAGGTTTAAAAGCCTCTTACTGAGTAAGGTCCTACCCTTACTTAGGGGATCCTGGATCAGGGTCTCTGTCCCTTGAGCTGCGACTTGAAAAGCTGTCATGGCTTTACAGGTTGGAGTACAGAGTCTGAAATCATTGGCCAGTACTATGATCTGCAGTTGTCTCTGTGGATATTGCAAGAGAACTGATGAAAGCTATTAAGTTTTCATGCTAGAAGGAGACATTACAGGACAATGACAGTCATTAGATTGACATTGTACTTCAGTAATTGTGTGGTACAAGCAAACAGAGGGTTTTAGTTATTTATCCTTTAGCTCTTGCTCGTGAGCTGTATTTCTTAAAATGAGACAGAAAACAATGTTTTTGTAACTTGAGAGCCTAATAAAAGGCTTTAAACCTGGATTATTTGAATCTCAATTCCCAAAACAAAGCAGAAGTTTTCTCTTCTGTGTTAATCTAGTACTGATATTTATTCAAACTCTGAAAGTAACATCTTTCCCTTTTACTGCAAAGGCTTTATTGCAAATCTTACCATTCAGCGTCAGTTTTTTCCAACTGAGGAAGATGAGACTGGAGCTGCGAAGGCTCTGATGCGCCTGCAGGACACATACAAACTGGATCCTGAAACACTCTCTCGAGGAAACTTACCAGGTGAGTGCACAAAGGTCTCTGCTTTAAAAGGAAGGAAGTGGTAACAACCTGAAACTCTCTCCAAAAGTCCTTTTTCAGTAGTGAGGCAAACCATGGTGCTGAAAGTCCATGCGGCTTAGATGCTTGAGGACGTATCTACTTCGACACTTCACCCAAGCCAAGGCGCCATGGTCTGCAGTGACCAGCTCAAGGAGCATTTTTTTTAATTAGTATTACTTTAAAAAAAAAAAAATGCTGATTTTTATAGTTGCTATACCAAAACAACAAAGGATGACATACTTTCTTATGCTGGTTACTGTGTAAGCAAATACTGCAGGTACTTCCTGTCCCCAATAACTAACGAACCGAGGGAAGGAGCTGCTCCGTGAGTCATTGCTCTGATGGCTCTTACAAAGCTTGGCTCTGTTCTTGTTTGCTATGGTCTTCCAGTGAGGCTTTGGTTGAATCACTTCGCTCCTTTCTTTCTGTGAAATGGGCACTAACAGTTTTTGCCACAGGGATGTTTTGGAAAGTACATAGATATATTGGGATGCTTTAGCGTTTTGGCAGCTGAGTCCTGATAAATGTTTGTTGCTGCTGCTTATGAGACACTTCCTGAAACAGGTTATGGTTGCTAGCAACACACTGTTTACAAACTGAATAGGCTTCATTAGAGTGTGGGTAGATGAGTTTTAGTTATTATATGTAGGTTATTAACAATGAACTTAAAATTAAATCTCATGTGTGCATCTGCTGAGCTGGAGCAACTGGAAATCAGTGCACAGTTACAGTCAAATGGATATCCAGTTTGTCTAAATAACAATCAGCTTGCTTATGCACAAATATACATCTCCAGTAAAGAGCAAACAAGCTAGCTCTGCATATAGTCATGCTTCTCTGATCATCTAACAGTGTTAATTTGTATATTCAGTAAAATCTGTTGAGCAGTTAGTCAGCTCTGCCTTTGTCTACAACAGAAAACACAATAGCTTAACACTGTAATTTCTATGTTAAACTTATCTTAGTTTCCAAAGGAATCAATGCCACAGAATTATGACAATGTCATCTTTAATTCTGAAGGTGACCAATTCGGTACAGAACCTAAAACATTGTCAAAGCATTATCTTTTAGAAGCCTTTTTGGATGATAAAAGCATGGATTTACAGATATTCCTCAATATGCCCCATGTATTTGAAGGCAAAGATGCTTCTGTGGATTGCTTAAAGTATCTTTTTGGTTTTAGGAACAAAATATAGATCCTCTTTGACAGTAGGTGACTGCTTTGGTATGGGGAAGACTGCTTACAATGATGGAGACTACTATCACACGGTACTCTGGATGGAACAAGCCTTAAAACAACACGATGAGGGAGAAGATACAACTGTCAGCAAAGTGGAGATCCTAGATTATCTCAGCTATGCTGTTTTCCAGTTTGGGGATTTACACAGAGCCATGGAGCTTACCAGACGTCTGATATCCCTTGGTAAGAACAAAAAACCTGCTATTCTAGCGCTGGGGAGTGTTGCCTGCAACAGAGCCAAGAACAGTCATGGCCCATACATATTGGTGAGCTGATGGGAAGAATAATCTGCCAGATGACTTGTAATAAACATAGGTCCTGGAAAAAAAACAGTCTCCTCATACATGAAGTATCTTTAACAAGCTATCTTACAGTCCATGCTGTTATTACCCAAAGACCAAATGTGTGTCTGACTGCAGTACCTGTGTGCTTTGCTTCAGTGTACTGAGATGCTGTGTTTGGTAATGGTTAAAGCCTGGGTTGTCTAAAGTGGAGATCAAGGCTACCACGGACTTAAGAGGATTGCTGTATCTTCTGTAAAGTCCTACTGACTTCACATATTCCTCTTTATTCCTCAGTACAGGTGCTCTTTGCCAGAAGAATACTTTGCCTGAGATCTTAAAGTATTTATTTCTGAATATTCAGAACAGATTGAGTTTCTTAAACCTCCTTTTATCTCTGGTCTGTTTCTGGCTTTCTCTCGAATAAGCAAATAAGCGTTGCTTCCTATACAACTTTGCCTACTTCCTGCATTGGAAAGGTTTATCCTCTCCAATTAGAATTAACATCTACTGTGTTACATATTTGTATGGTTTTTTAATCAGCTGTGGTTCTTAATTTAGATGTTAGCTGCATCCTGAGAGTGGGTGAAGCCTTTCTATTGAAAAATGTATCAGTAATTTCTGCAGACACTAGAGTTCATAGATTAAAATTTACAAGAATATGAATATGTATTGAATCTACCTCGCTCTGCAATAATCGGGTTTAGCACTGATACCAGAATGCAAATCCCTATCAGCACCAAACAGTGGAAGAGACTTGGTAGTCCCCTCTGGGAGCAGCAGCTTCCTCTGCTCTGGGGCTCAACTTCCTTATCTGGCCACTATTAGCCTGTGCTCTAATGAGTGGTTACTTCTGTGACCTTCTGGGTTAGTTAAATAAGATAAACACAATAAGCTTGGGAGGGTCAGAAGGGAAAGAAACTGTTCTAGGTGCTAGTGTCCAGAAACACTTTGTGGTGAACAGGGAATTGTTCCTTCTTAGTTATGCTGGGTAAAGATCTGTTGATGTTTATTGATTCATACCAACATCATTAATCACTAATGATAGGTCCAATGATGCTAGTGATCCAGGATACCTCCTGTATAAACCTGTTATAAACATCTAGAGATGGATGCTGTAGGTGGGCTGTTAAGTGGTAATGCATATCTCTGAGCTTCCCCACTTTGGAGCTTTTGAGCTTCCCCTCTTCGGGACTGGACTCTGTGACTGGGACTCCACCGCAGCCCTTGGTTAAAGCATGCTCATGCAGTGCGGATGAGAAGCATGGTGGAGAGGAGGGGTGCAACAAGTAGACTAGCTTGATCTCTGCTGTGAGCTTTGATTTGCTTATCTTGGGTAGAACTGGGCAGAAAAGTTGAGAGAGAAGGAGGGATGTGAAGACCAAAACCTCTTTTTTCCTGAAATACAAGTTCTGTGATAGGTCCTTCCAGAAATGACTCTTTCACAGACTATGCTTATCTTCCCTCTGCAAAGACAGAAACTTCCCAGTGCTGGTTTTCAGTGCAGACTGGAGCCAGTGCCTTTGGTTGCCTGATAATGCTTTGGGAAGGGGAGAATTATTGCTGTGTCTTGGTACAAAGACTTGCTTGTATTAACAGTTCCTGAGGTTGCATGAATCACTGGTTCTCTGTTTTTCTCTCAATGAAGACAGCACTCATGAGAGAGCAGGCAGTAATCTGCGGTACTTTGAGAAGTTGCTGGAGAAGGAGAGAGAGGAGAAGGAGAAAGAGAAGTCAATAAACAAGACCATGACAACGACAGAGCCAGTGGTGCAAAGTGGTGCCTATGAGAGGCCTCTTGACTACTTGCCGGAGCGTGACATCTATGAGGCCCTTTGCAGAGGTGAAGGGGTAAAAATGGTAAGAGAAAGGCAAGACTTTCCTGACTATACTGCCTTTGCATGAGGATGATCAAGCTTGCTGGGAGGTGTTAGGTTTTGCCTTCTGTGAAGCTGTTTTTTAAAGAAAAAATTAAATGTAGTTCTGTCCAGGCTGAGATTTGTACCTTATGTCTTGGCCTCTCTATCTTTAGCTGTTAATCCTAGACAAAAAACCAGCTCTCAGCTATACCTCTTAAAGGTTGTTGAAAATTGATTCTCCTCAGTCTGTCTACTCAGCCATTTCAAATGCTGACTGTACCAATATACTAGGAGGCTTTTTCCACTGAGAGCTGGTTATGCTTTGCCACACTTACGGAATCATGTTATTCCTTCCCTTTTGCATCTTAAAGACATATTCTTCTGGGGTGACTATTTTGACCAACCAGTCTCCAGTACCTCTCAACAAACATGGCTTCAATTCTCAGTGCAGGGAAAGGAATCCATTTATTCTATCTGCATAGTCTTAATTATAAGAACTAGCTTTTTTTACAGCTGACTGTAGTTATTTGCTTAATCTGTAACCTATTATGGTTTAACTCTCCTAAAGGTTAGTGTTTCAGATGTTGCTCAGTGGTGTCTTGAGTGGCCTATGTTGGTTTTTTATTTGCAGCAAACTGCAGAATCACTCATGCTTACCTCTTAAATTTGCTTGTCAGCTGATGGCTTTTCTAGTGTTTGTGGAATAAAGCCTATTTTGTTTTTTGTCTTGCCTGTTTTAAGTTCATGAAAAGTGCTTTGTTTGGCATTTTGTTTCAGACACCTCGAAGACAGAAAAGGCTGTTTTGTAGGTACCATGACGGAAACAGAAACCCTCACCTGCTCATAGCTCCCTTTAAGGAAGAAGATGAATGGGATAGCCCTCATATTGTACGATACTATGATGTCATGTCTGATGAAGAAATTGAGAAAATTAAACAACTAGCTAAGCCAAGGGTAAGTTTCCCCTCTTCCATCTCTCTAATGACTGCTAATTCCGTGCTTTAATCTCTGTTAGCAAAGACTAGGCAAAGGATTTGAAAGATCTGGTTTCATACTACAGATGATACACTGCAGCTGTGAGCCTAAGGGGAACGATTTCGAAACTGCCTGGTGATGTAGGACCATAAAGCCCAGGCTCCTGAAGGTATTTATGCATTGTTGCACTTAATTATGTAAAGTTCTCAGTAAATGGCTTAGAAACCTTTTAGGAAACTAGGGATTAGACCTGAAATGGTAGATGACTGATAGGAGTAGGTGTCCAATATACCTTAAGTCTGCCTTTTTTGAAATGGAGCTGAACTTCAAAACAAAATTTTAAAAGCCCAAATCCCAACAGAAGTGGGAAGAAACAATGGTGGTTTTTTTAAGTTGTGCTAGAAGAATATCTAAAGGTTTGGTTTTTTGCTTTGGGTAACCTGGAATCCACTGCTTCTGTTTTAAACCGTAGTCTAAACCTGCACAGAGGCAGGCCCTTCAGATGCCATGGTGCATCCATGAGTAGAACCACGATGATCTCCTGAAGCCCCACACGGTTCATTGGGAATAATGTGATACAGTTAACACAGAGTGGAGAAATCATTTGTGCTCTTAAGTAATTCTCAATGTGGGACTTGGGAAGGATGGAGTACTCATAAGGATGAATGCACAATGCAGTTACTCTCCCAGAGCACTTTAGATCTGACTTTTCCACCTAGATAGCTGTCTGTTGGGCAGCAGAGAAACAGATGTGACAGCTTCAGTATGCTAGGTGTAGATCCAACTCAAAGACAGCAGCTTTGAGTGGGAACCCTAGTTTTGATGCAATACCTGTTACCCATGGTGTGAATTCTAGTGACTCTGCACACAATAAAAAAGCAGCTACCTAATGCAAAGCTAATAATTATCTCGTCTGATTTTTCTGGAGGTGGAATTTCCTGTCTGTTTCCTTTCCAGCAAAAAAAGTATGGCAGGGGGAGATCAGTAGTAGATGCTACACCTTACTTTTCTGTCAGGTCTGACAAGCATGTAAAACTAAACATTTCTATTTTTATACATGAATGGTTCATTTTAGCACTCTTCTAGCTACTGCTATGAAGTGTGGTACTAAAATTCCAGTCAAGAATTACCCTTCTGTATGTTTCTAAATGTAAACATAAATATCTAGTTAGAAAGAGACTGAGAAACTGATGCTTCCTAAGAACATTAATAATTTGGGATGTTTGTGAAGCTGGACTTCTATGACTACCAGCCAGCTATGGGAGTGTTGGCAGAACACTCCTGTCTCGATGAGGACTCTCACCTCCATAAATGGAGGCTTTTTCCTATTACATCATACTATAAAACTTCAAGAGCTTCAGATAAAATGGAAACATTGAAATAGAGCGTATCGCTTAATCTATTTTACCAAATTAAGCACATTCTAAATAAGGCAGCTACTAATTTTTTGTTTGGTTTTCCCTTTTTGTTCAAAGTTGAACAGAAGGTTCAAAGTTTTATGGAAAGTCTTAAGTCTTGCTCACTGAGTTTTTCTTATGTTACTAATGTCAGAGGAATTCTTCATATAATCTATGTAGTGTAGAACTGGGATCAGTCCCTGTAAGAGTAGGTAAATACTGTAGTCTTAAGATTTAGATGAAAGTTTCCAATTAAAAAAAAAGCAACCATTTTTCTATAACTTTTTTTTCTAAATCTGTCTATAGCTCAGCTGCAGGAATAGCTTTAAATTCTGCAGTACTACTGAAAGAATGGAAAATGCAAGTCCTGTGATGAGATGGTCCATAATAAATATAGCTTAATTTCAGCCAGGAAATTTTAGTTAGTAGTCATAGAAGTTTTCAGACAGAACTCTGAAGTAGTATGTTAGTTTTGGGCTCAGAAAGATGAGCACTTCCTTTGTTCTAAAATGCATTTACAAGAAACTTCTACTTTTGGGTCCAAGCACTTTAATATTGGCAAGTGTAAACTGCAGATAATATTTTTGTTTTGTGGAGAAACAACATCTGTACGTGATTGAGAGTAGCTGTGTTCAAGTTGGTTTTCATGCTTGTTTTGCAAAATGCAATCACTTTTTTATTCCAGTTCCAGAAAGTAGTTTCAGCTTTTCAGGCAATACATAGAGCTGACTGGGAAGGGTCAAGAAAATTCTTAACTTTATTGGTGTGGATAGCATTGGGACAGGTCTGCCATGAAAGCATGAGAACCTTACTCCCAAAGTTCTGGATGCTACCTGCAACACAGGCATGCCTGAACAGGTGAAAATATGGCGTGGAGGGGGACACTTAGGTATCTTTGAACTCAGTGCTATGGGATTTCAGCAATACAGAATTTCAGAAGGAAAAGCCAATGGAGTGCATGCTAAACTAAACGCAGACTCTAAGAGGAAGACTGGATGAAGAGTCTGACCAGTCCAGTGTGTTATGATGATTCGTCAAAGCCCAGCAAATGCCTGCTATAAGGCTGCTTTCTCCACCCTGAGAGAGGAAGCCTCACATTTATGTCAGTTGTACCAAGTGAGGTATAGATTGTATGTTGTCTGTGAAGAAACCTGCCTATCAGAAAGAGAAGTGTTCTCTTGTCATACAGAGGAGATATGGAATAATATGAATGTAGTCAGGCTTATTTTGGTTCTGAGTTACTTAGATCAAATGCTGGGTGCAGAAATCAAGCAAGCATATAAAAGCTTGAAAATGGCAGTGGAATGAAAAGTTTGGGAAGCTAAATTATATCCTAAAAGCTATGCTCCACTGTACAAGCGAAGAACAACATTCAGTCAGCCTGGCTCTTCTGTTATGATTTATGCAGGAGAAATCTGGAACAAAATAACAGTGACTCAGAATTACAGGAACAGCTGTGCCAAGAACTCTTGTATAGGGACAAGACGGCTGACATGGATTGCAAAGCTGGCTGGGGACTTACTTGAGGAAAAATGAAGGAAATAATGACTGCATGCTCTGAAGAAAATGCAAATAAAAAAGCTTTCTGTGACCTATAATTGAGTGGAAGGAAGGAGGCATGATTTTAAAGTGTTTGTGGTTTGCAGGAGTTAAATTTAAATGTGGTCTGAGTTTACAGTCAAAGAAGGGAGTGCCCCAGTTCTTGTTCTCAGCTGCAAGTATAAAACCAAAGTGGCCTGTTGGGTTATGCTAGCAGTAGTCTATCATTTTGACACCACAGCAAATCTGATCAATTTTGCCAAGTTCCAAATTTTTCCTACAAATATGGTGATGTGGCCTAATGGTGATGATGCATTACTTGCTGTTTGAAATGTATAGGTGAACTGAGCTTTTGCAGAGTTACCTTCATAATGTAGTAACATTATCTCAAATTGTCTCTGTGAATTAGATGTTCCAGGCATCTTCAAACTGGAAAATCTGAGCATGGTAATGTTGAGAGTTGTCCTCAGGAGTTTCCTACCATTGTGGATTTGCCTGCCCCATAATTTGTAACTCATTCTGTAGAAGTTTTCACTTGTTATTTTTTCATCTAAGAATGAGGTTGGGTTTTTTTAGTCCACGTGAGGAGCAGGCTGATTAAATTTATGGAGTATCCAATGATTTTCTCTTTGTCAAGAACTTGGGCTTCATATGTTGTTAACTCTTGTTGTTGTTCCCTCTTGCTAATATTGACTCTAGCTGTAAAAAAAGTACCTTCAAAACCTGTTCAGCAAGCAGTACTTGTGGATTTAATGAATATCATGGCTTGTGCAGTCAGTCAAATTCTTTTTCTAGGATCAAATGCAGGTGACGGATTGCACTTGTGTTTCTGCATGTACTGTTCTAGCATGAAATCGGAACAAACTCTAGGTTGGAGCTATAACTTTCATCCAGTGATGTACTGAAGTTGGACAAATAAGGTGTTGATTTTGGTTAAGATGAAAGAATTTTTTTCTAACCTGTAGTTGATGTTTGTTCCCCCTTGGGATTTTTTTTGATGCAGCTGGCACGAGCCACAGTACGTGATCCCAAAACCGGTGTCCTTACAGTGGCTAGCTACAGGGTATCAAAAAGGTAAGCATAGAGAAGAGTTTAGCTTTAAGGTTTTTGTGCTTAATAGCTGTCATCTGCTACCTACAGCTGAAGTGCTTTGCATGTAGCAAAAGCTTGCACAACAAATGCATGGTAAATGGCTCTTTCAGCCATCTGACTGAGGGCAGAAGAATCCTTCTGCCTTAGGAAATGGATTGTTGTGGTTGGTATTCCAAAATAACGTTTCAATCCTTCCCTTATGCTAGCTCATGGTTGGAGGAAGATGATGATCCTGTTGTGGCCAAGGTGAATCAACGAATGCAGCAGATCACAGGGTTAACAGTGAAAACAGCTGAACTATTGCAGGTTGGTACACTTGTCTTGTCAGACTTCATCCTGGCAAAATTAGCTGGTCAGGGTGGTCTGGTGCTTATGCAGATATAAACATAGGCTGGCTCTTATCCAGTCCCTCTTAGGGGTTCTGTTGTCTACTGACTAAGCACACAGAGTAGGTAAGGTGTTTATGCTCTGTGGGGTGTTCCCAGCTGCTGCTAGCTATAAGGACCTGGCAGGTAGATGTTTTCCCTTTGTGTGCTGGGCAGAGAAGGGTGGAGATATCAAAGAAATAGAAGATAACTTTGTGCAGGAATCTGTGATTCACCAGTTTCTTTTGAGGGAGATACCTGCCACTTATTTTAAAGTCTGCAAAAGTTGAACCTCCTTCCTAGTCAAACCTTTCAAAGACCCAAATATTTTTCATCTAAGAATGAGGTTGGGTTTTTTCAGTCCACGTGAGGAGCAGGCTGATTAAATTTATGGAGTATCCAATGATTTTCTCTTTGCCAAGAACTTGGGCAATGCTATATTCTGATATGAAGTATGATCTCTGGCTGTCTGTTGGGGAGAGGAAGGAGAGTAGGAGTGGTACAGCACTGCCAGAATAACTGTACCTTAGCCTGTTTACTGCTGCTTTTCCTCCATGCTCCTTGAATTCCTGTTTTAGAGCCTGATTGAAGTGCTCTTGATTACTGGCTATCCACAGAAACCAGGTAATTGTGTAGTGATCCTGGAGACATGTTAAGTGCAGCCTCAGAATAACTAAATCATAAGTCATGTGATCTTCAGATAAAGTAAGCAAAGCAGTGCTTTTAAACTACTTTGAGCCTTCTGTGTTCCTGAATGGGCATGTGTATGTAAAAGATTGTACATGTGTGACAGTAATTGTAGGGGCTGTGTATCTCCTAGTTTGGACACACAAATTATAGAACTACATGCATTCAAGAGTGTGGTAAAACTCTTGCTGCTAATTCATGTTAAACAGGCTGTTGTAGTGATAAATAGAGTGCTGCCATTGAGAAACATTTGGTACTGAGAAATATTCTCAGCGAAACCTTAAACTATGAAAGGGAAAGAGCACTTAATTTCTCTTTAGATTGCCAGAAATGAGTTACCTGAATGAGAAAACTTAAGTGTGCTATAGATAACAATCTTGCCACAAAGTGCTGTTTCTCAAAGCATGTTTTGAATTTCTAAGAGCAAATGCTATCTTCTTCAGCAGTGACTTGCAGTTCAATGGATATTTATGCTTCCTTCTTCCACGCTGTAGGTTGCCAACTATGGAATGGGAGGGCAGTATGAGCCACACTTTGATTTTTCTAGGGTAAGATCACACCTTCAATTATTTCTTAGTGGGGTGGGGAGGGGGGAACAGTTTGTTTTGAGAGAAAATTGTTGAAACTGTTTTCTGTTAAAACACTTAATGTATAGCCCTGTTGCATGGATGGATTATGACTTGAAAAGCTTTCGCACTGCCTTTTCTGATGCTGAAAGTTCAAGAGAACAATGAACAAATCTGCCTGCTTGTCTTTGTCACCTTGGTTCCTTGCACAGTATAGAGACACTAGAAGATAGTCCTGCAGCACTCGAGTATGCTCTTTGCATTACTTTATTTGGAAACTGAGGTCTACAAGCCCTGGATTGGGAGTCTGTGTTGTTCCATTAGGCTTCTGAGTTCAGCAAGGTTGTCTGAGTCCTCCTTTGGTGGATGTTTTAAAGCACTTTGCAGGAGCTGGCTGAGGAGGAGACATCCTCCCGCCTCCCTTCAGAAAAGTAGCCATTATGGAAATCTTCATGTGTCATAGAGTCCTTCTGGCAAAACCCTTCGTGTGGCTGCAGCTATAGGGTCTGAAGAGGGCTTGTCGGGCCGGTGTTCTGGAGGGCAGTGCTACAGTGAGCAGGAGAACTTGCAGCTGGGTGGTGCCAGAAACACAGTAGGCACTAGAGGGCTCTACCTGGCAAATAACAGCTCCGGCTTGCTGCAAATGGGGAGAAGAGGAACAGAAATTCTTAATTGTCACCCTAAACCAGTTTGTGAACATGCTAATCATACTGAAGAGCTACGGAGACTGGTAATTGCAACTATAAAATCCATCTGATGCCTTGGTTGCCAGTAGAAACGTGGCATTTCAACGGAATCTGGCTTAATTCAGGCTGTCCCAGTGGTTTTACCTGGTAGAAGGGATTGCTGCAGCCAGAGCGCAACCCAATAATTGAGTGCAGAATTGAAGCCACCCAACTTAGCATTGTATAAAAAATAAATAAAAAAATCCTGAACTTCAACACTGTGGAAGCTCATATTCGTTGGCTTTGGCCTGTTCAGAGAATTTTCCTGTTAACTTTAAGACTGCTCTGTTTCCTGAGTCAAGCAAATGCTCTTAAAGTCTCTTCAAAGCCTTTGAACTCAAAAGACCTCAGCCATCAAATTGGCCAGTGTGGACTTTACTTTTGGATTAGGCAGCTGGGGCAGAGCTCCACTTGGAACATAACCTTGGCTGCAGTCATCAGTTAAGGCAAGGCAACCACAGAATTTGCCATAGTTTTGGACTGGTCCTCCAGGCTCTCTGTGCATCACAGATGTCTGTATTGAAATACAGAGATACTGCTGTGTCTGCCCATCTCCTGATCAGCCTTGCAGCTTTTTGTTCCCTTCCAGTTCTCAAATAGGGACACATTAATAGTTGCATATTACAATTTTGAGATTTTACTGGTTGCTCAAAAGTTAGAGAAATCTTTTGGTATTGAAGTTCAGAAATGCATGGCTGGACCTGGGTTTGGCAGTGGTGGCAGAAACCAGGGAATCCCCAATATCTCAATGCTCTTATGTTGGCTCTTAGATGGAATTTGCATATGCAGATGCAAAAGTCTTATTTTTTTATGAATGAGCCCATTTCAGGAAAGACCTTTTATTTCTTGAAACATGCCTCAAGTAGATTGAATTCTTAACATCTTAGAGATGGGGGCTGTGGCTTTCCTTGCTGTTTGTTTTTTCTAATACTGATTTCTGCTTTTCTTTAAATGTTGAAGATTATTGTTTTTGTGTAGAAGAGTGCACCTTAATGTCTCCTGGCTGAAATTACTTCCTGACTATTAACAATGTAAATAAACTTTTAATTGCGTTTTTTTGAAGGGAGGAGAGAGACATTGGTATTCTAGATGTTCTTCTAAACTGGCACCAATGTGATCTCATACTTCAACAAACAAAACTCAACGTTTCCTACAGAGTAAAGACAATTTGATCTTTTTGATGTGGTCTGTAATCCTAGGCAGGCAACCACCTGAAAAGTTCATTATTGCTATTCTGCAATTTTGCCTGCTAGCAAAAAAATGCATTTTTCTCTTCTCATGACTATTTCTTTGAGTCACTACTACATTTACAAGAATTTAGTGTGTTATTTAAAGCCCACTGAAGGTGAGTTTTTCATATTCACCTCAGTTGTTGACTTTGGATCAGTGTCCAGTACAGTAACGGCCTGTTGATAACTTTAGCTTTACTTGGATAACATCTGTGCCACAGGCCCTGAAAACATTGCTTCTACTTTGCCCAAATAATTGCTTCAGTGCTTCTTCTCCTTATAGCATCTGAGTGCTATGTGCATGCACTTATGCACCCTGGCTGCGATTTGTAATGGCTTTAATGTTGCCCTGTATCAATTGTCCCCTTTTTTATTCCAACTCTTTAAATTGGGCTTAAGGATCTCTCTGCAGAGCTACACATATGTAACACTAGTGTGAGCCTGTTTGGAACTTGGGTTAAAGTTGTTGTCTGTTACAGCGACCCTTTGACAGCACACTCAAATCGGAAGGAAATAGGCTAGCGACGTTTCTTAACTATGTAAGTACCTCTGTTTGTCTGCTGTCTGTGAGCTTGAAGTTTGCAGTTATTCTCATTTAATTTTATAGAAAGATGAGCCAGATGCTTTCAAGCGGTTAGGGACTGGAAATCGTGTGGCCACTTTTTTAAACTATGTAAGTATGATGATCCTTTATGCATTGAGTGTAACTTTAGCAGCATCTTGTTTACAGCTTGTGCAGTTGGTTATTTGTAGAGATTCCCTGGCATCTGGAAGTAGGGATTTCGTTATTCTTGCAGCATCAGGTGCTGTCCCATCTGAGTTGATAGAATTCTGGTGGTATTTAACCTCAGAGCAGAAAATTTGAATATAGGGCCCAGCTCCCCTTTTGGCCACTCTACTATGAAGTCTTTGACTTCACTGGATTCCTGTTGGTGGAAGAGGAGAATTTGGCTTTTCTCAAAGGCGAGTGCTTGGGGTACTCCTCATGTGGTATGCTGTTTGGGAACTTGACTGTCAGCCATCTACTGTGAGACAGTCATGTTCTTCCACCACTGTTTGACAGCACTTGATGTTGTGGTCTGCCAGCCTCCATTTTAGCTGTTTGTCAAAGCTAGAGTTACTCTGGCATAGCTGTCACTTCAGCAAATGGAGGAGATGTACCTAATAAACTCGGTGCAACTGGGTTACAAGTGCAGAATTGAAAAGACTCGGTAGTTGCATGCATTATACAGCCTACAGACCATGTACACTGGAATCATAAGCATAACTGCCACTGATACTAGTGGCCTCATGTTTTCACAGTAGTCTTCTGACAGTATTTTATCTATCAGCCTATACTTACTATATCAGTAACTAGGATCACCTAATCTACTATGTCAAACTTTTGAGTGATACAATCTCAAACTTAAAATTCTGTGAAATATTTATGGCTGAGCTGGTATTTTGAGTGTGAAATGCAGCTCAAAACAGGACCAGAAATATTTTCAACTTGATGTGGCAGGGGAGGAGATAATCTATGAAACAAGAATTGGAATAAGATAAGTAGCTGTGAAATAGTCTGCTGCTAAGAGGCTTTAATTTTAAATTGTCTCTATCTGTATCTTGTTTGTTTCTCAGACTTTTGGACAAGCCTTGGTTTAGAGTGAATGATATGCACCTTATTCTCTGCCAGTTGTACATGGTCAAAGGTGATTTACCCTTATATGTCCCATGTAGAACATATCATACAGCTACCAACACCCTTACTAAAAAGAGTGGTTGTGTTGCTAAGATGTAGGTATTAACTTGCAAAGTTGCATGCACATGCTTTCTAGTTGGAAGGGGCAAAACCTGTGCACCTGTGGCATCTTATGCCCTTTTATTGTAGGTACCAAGCAGGAGGACACCAGAGTGGTAATAACATCTGCTTTAAACAGAAATCCAAGTTACAGTAGAGAATGTGGGGACTTGGGGAGTGTATTAATAGTAGTTCTGCTGTTTAAATTTGGTGGGAGCTGGATCTGACTCACTTGTTTCTTTTAATTAGAATCTGATCAAAAACTCACTGAAATCAGTGGAAAGACTTTCTATTTTTAATGGGAGTGTTTCCAGGAACTTTGGTGGGTTTTGGATCAAGTCTAGAATTTATAGTGAATCCATCATTACTGATGAATTCAATAGAGTTAAATTCATTCCAGTGTAGAAGACCAAAAGAAAAGCATAATATCTTTATGCTTTGAGTCACATAGCTGTATGTATTAAAGCTTGAGATGCATAAAGCACTTGAAGTGGCATAACGTCACTGGTGAACAGCATAGAAACAGAGCAGAAAGTGAGGTTTTCTAATAGTTTGTATAGTTTTTGAAGTGGTTGACCAAGATGCATAAACTGAATTATGAAAATCAGTTCCAAAGACATGGTTTCAATTTATGAGGAAACATGTGGTTTAACAGACATTTACTTGTTTTCCTAATTGGATCATAAACTGGAATGAAATTCTTGAAACTGACTTACTCTGAAGTCCTCTCCCTTATTCTAGAGTACTAGCTTATTAACACCGCGGGTACACAACTTCTTATGGCTAATTGTTTGTGCAATAGATTATATATAATCTAGACAAAGTGCTGAACAAAAGCCTTCACTGAAGTAAAAGCCTTCAATAGCAGGTACTGTTACTTTCGCAGTTCGTGCTGGTTGAAGTGCATCCTTTCCTCATCAGTGCCTCTTGTAGAGGTGCAAGTAGAAATCTCTCTGTTAGGGCTTGGGGCACTTAAGTTTGTGGGACTGCATGTACAAAAAGCATTGTAAATGGACAGAGTTTGCGGACTTTGTTTTCTCAGATGAGTGATGTAGAAGCTGGAGGAGCTACAGTTTTCCCAGATTTTGGGGCAGCAATATGGCCCAAGAAGGTAAAGTCTCTTTATGTGTTTTGCTTGATTTCTCCTCTCTCCTGTTACTGTCTCTTCCTTAGTATGGTCCTACATCCATTTAAAAGTCAGCTAATGTGACAAAGTGCTGTTCACTGCAACTTGATCGACAGGCTGCTGTGTATCAAGGCAGCTGTAGCTGATCTTGTAGACTGCAGGGCTGCTTCCTTTGTTTTACAATGTATAATGTGAACAGTTTCTGTGTAGAGCTGTTATTAACAAAAAAACTTGTGCTCAGGTAGAATGGCTTTAAAGGGGGGGTAGATATAGACTAGATGGAAGGAAGAAATGTTTTATGCTGAGGGTGGTGAAGCACTGGCCCAGGTTGCCCAGAGAGGTGGTGGATGCCCCATCCCTGGAAACATTCCAGGTCAGGTTGGATGGGGCCCTGAGCAACCTGAACTAGTTGAAGATGTCCCTGCCCATGGCAGGGGGGTTGGACTAGATGACCTTTAGAGGTCCCTTCCAATTCTAGAACTCCTCTCTACTCTGAACATGTCTGAATTAATAGAGTGGGACTAAGGGGTTTTTTTATGTGCTGTCAGTGGTGGCCTATGTTAAAGTGCTTCATAAGAGCCTGCAGCTGAATTCATAGGCATTTCCCCTCCCTTACTGTAACCTGAATAATTATATTGACTAGGTTCTGACTAATCCAGATCTGATTTCACTTTTCAGGGAACAGCAGTGTTTTGGTACAATCTTTTCAGAAGTGGTGAGGGTGACTATAGAACAAGGCATGCAGCTTGTCCAGTACTAGTAGGGTGTAAATGGGGTAAGTAATACTCCTTTAGGAACAAAACCTGAAGGAAGGGTCATGTGTGTGCAAAGCTGGTGATATACTGAACCCTTACAACAGCATTTAATGACCTGGGTGTTGCCATTTTAACTACTGGAGTCATTCGGCCATAATGAAAACTCCTACCATCAATATCATGTAGTATTACGCAGCTACGCTGTTCAGCTGTAGCTTTTCTAGTGAGTTTTTTTGTGTCCATGACAGCACAAAGTGTGTAAGAATGTCACTGGGTTTGTGTAGTGTGTCAGCATCAGGATGACTTGAATTATCATTTGACTAGAATCAGGTCTGTTCCTAGAAGATATGTGTGTAGTTTTAACTGCAAAAGGAGGAGAGCTCCTTGTAAGGTGAAAGTGAATGTCTGGACACTGGGAATTTCTGGTAACTGCTGAAAGCTTCTCAAGCTTCATGTCATCCATTCCCATACCCACCTCCCCCAGCCTCCAAGGTGTATTCCCCTGGAGCGCCAGAGCATACTGATCTATAAATGATACCAGATCCAGAACGGACTGCTCTGTTACTGTTGGCCCCAGAATTGTGCAATTGGGAAGATCCTTTCTTCCCTAGTCTCTTGCATTTTCCTATGTCTTTCCCATTGGATGGGTAGAGAAGTATAAACAGGGATCCTCAGACTGAGAGATGAGATTTTACTTGAAGTAACCATCTGGGTTGTGGTGATACATGCACTGGGTATGTGGTGGTAACTAATTTCACCTTGTTCCACAGTTTCAAACAAATGGTTTCACGAAAGAGGAAATGAATTCTTAAGACCTTGTGGGAGAACAGAGGTTGACTGAAACCCAACCTGCTGCAGGCCTTTGTTTCTCTGTCTCCTTTTCTACTGTTGTTTGTTCCAGTTCATTTCTAAGAAATGATCCAACTTTTTCTCCAAGAGTCCTGGCACTTTACCAAAAAAGGACAACAAAATATGTAACACCTGTGAAAGAAAGTAAATGGCATTGTACACATCCTTGTGTTTTGGTTGCTGTTATTTCCATGTTCCCCTTGCCCCTGCCATCCTCCTTTGACCTGCCTTCCGCCCTCCCAGCTTTCTCTGTACTAGTGGTGCAAACAGTGCTGTGGGTGAATCAGTATGTTTGGGTGCCTGGTCTTGTGCCTTTTGTACCTCAGAAGATTTAGATGTTAAATATTTCTTTGAACCAAAGGGGGTTTTTTTAAAGTTTTGTGTACATGTTGATTTTATTGTATTTCTATGGATCACAAGTTTTGAAACAACAAAAATAAATGTTCTTTCCATAAAGTGATTTTCTATTCTGTGTCCTTAATAGGTATATCAGTGCTTGGTTTTAGGGAGCAGGGGGCCTTTACTTTTTCCTTTATTGAGGGCCTGTTGCTTTGTTGCCCTTTTTCTGTAGAAAATACATCATGGTTTTGGACAGTGTTTTATTTAAGGCTCCAGCACACGACATAGAACTGTTGCACCTTCTGCTGAAGCTGGGAAGGTTTAATTTGTGTATTGAAACTATAATGTATCCTGGGAGCAGGCAGGCTGCACATTTTGGGCCAATGGCAACTGTGATCTCAGTATTACACTTATGAGAAGCCTTTCCCTGTGATGTTAACTTCTCTTGTGGGGTACTATCTATTTTTGATTCAAGCAGTTACAAAAATCTGAAGCCTTTCAAGACTTTAAATAGTCTTGACAATTCTTGATTCTAAAAATAGGCATCTCTACAGATGAAATACTGCATTTTTACCACAGGAACACCTGATCTGGCACCTATTGAAGTCAGTAGGATGGCTTGCAAGCAAATCTTAATCTACTTTTGTAGAATGGAGCAGGGTTTTTGTCTTGCCCTTCAGACAGGCTGGGAATAATCATGCCCTTTGAACACAAGGATTCAGATTCTCCTTTGCCTTTTTGCTTTGTGAGCATGTGTGTAATGGCCACAAGCCAACACATGGAGGACAGTGTTGTCCACAATAGAAAGGAAATCCCATTTCTGAATTATAATTCAGAAGAAATGACAGTTAATTGCTAAAAAAAAAATTAGCAAAGTTGTGGAGAAATAGGCAAATGTTTCAGAAATGTAGAAACTTGCTGTTAGTACCAGACTGTTGTATTGATATGCCACTGTGCAGGGTGGATTGACTTCAGATCTCTCACTGGCCATTTCTGGTATGGGCATGACTTCGCGGGAATATGGATGACTGCAGGTGAACTTAAAGCCAAAAATGATAATGGTTTTATAACCATAAGTTATTGCTTAAAGACTAGCTTGGGCAATTGTTAATGTACCAACATAAACTGGCTTGAGAAAGTGAAAGACACTTCAATTATACTGAAACATCCCGTTGCAGTCATGGTTGTCATATGATGAATGTTGGTTTGCTTTGTAATTCTCCATTGCCCTATGTTGTGCAAAGACTGAATGAGCTAGAATGAGGTAATGCTTAAAACAACTGTCAGGCAGGATTTGAAGCAATGCACCTGCTGTCCTCCTAGGAAAGACTTGTGGAATGGAAGGGTTTTACATGTTAGGAATAATGGATGTCATCAATTTATTGTGTTGGTAAGAAAGCAATGTGACTTAGCAATATATGTTCATGTGCCCCTGAATTTTACATGTGGGGAATTGATGAACTTAATGGTTATTGCTTTGTTTAGTCATTTAGATGCAGCATGTAAGTACATGTATTCACTGAAGTTTCAATTTTTGTTAAACATGCACAATTGGTTGAAGAGAGAGGTCTTGCATTGCCCAGGCAGAGACTTGTTGAGCTCCAGTTGTTAATGATACTGAAACGAGAGGAGCATCTAGTCTTGTAAAGCTTTGTGTGAACAGTTATAGCAGGTAGCTATAGGAATTGCAAGACTTTTTCCTAAAAGCTTTAATGACCTAGCACAGCATAGCTCGACAGTTGCTCTCTAACCTCTCACAGTGCTCCTTTGCTTGCCATGAATGTTGTGGTTGTTGGCTGGCTGTTCAGAATATTTCATTGTTGACCTCTAGTTTTCTTAGTAAAATCTCTCAGCACAACATAAACTTAGGAAATAAGGAGTTTTGCTTTATAACAAAGCATTCAACATATGACAGCCTCACAGATGTGAAGAACTGAGGATGAGCCAAACCCACAGTCTCTGGTTGGAACACTTTGGATTTCAGGGGGAGGAAGAGGAATCTACTTAGACTTTCTGTCAACGTGGTATGTTGACAGATAAAGTTCACATCAGGACTCTGGCCAAAAATCTGCACATCCCACTTCTGAAATAGTATAGTTGGCTGGGAAATACCATTGTTATACTGAACTTTTAAAGCTAATTTTACTTGCTTGTTTTCTCTGGGAAGAACTAGCCTATTCTCTGGGTTGTCTTCCACCTTGCTTCAGTCTGTCCTTGAAGTAGGATGCGATGAGTGTGGATGCAGAACTCCTCAAATGCTAAGCTTCCTTTTGTGCTGTGTGCAGGATTCGCTTACTGCTAATCTGATCTGAAGAATAATAGCTATTTCGGAGAAAAGAGCATATGTGACTCATGGGCATTCAGTAACCTCTCAGGCGTGTTTGTGTAGTCTGGCAGATTATATTCCCTATTCTGTCTCCTATCATTCTGGAAGATGAACAGAATATGGCAATTAGCCTAAAGTTAAGGGATAGTTTTTAGACCTAAAAGACAGAAGATTCATATGCTGGAACAAGTAAGCCTTCCCCCATCTAGGCATAGGGAACTTCTGCCAGTGTATCACTGGTATGGTAAGTACTTAAGTCTTGTTCAGACTGAAATGGTTTTGCTCCTGACATACTGCTGACTCTTCTTTATTTCCCAGGGTTTAAGTACTTGGTACTTAAGTACTTAGTACAGATATTTATACGCGCTACAAAGGCTTACTGTGGACAAGTGGCTGCCAGACACTTTGAAGTGCTTTGGGACCTTTCAGAGAGATCTTCAGGACATGCCTGTTAGCGTTGCTGATGTGGTTTTTAAGGACTGTGGACAAGTGGCTGCCAGACACTTTGCAGTGCTTTGGGACCTTTCAGAGAGGTCTTCAGGACATGCCTGTTAGCGTTAGCTTGCTGATGTGGTTTTTAAGATACTGCTCTGTGTAACAGGTACTGATGGAAGCAGATACTGCGTGAACTCTCATGGAAAGATGGTCTCTTACTGTGGCTTATGTAGTCATAAAAACAACCACCCCCAGCCTGTGCCAGTAACCCGCATCCAGTTCGAGCATGTGGTTTCTTAACCCCTGGCCTGAATGCTGCTGTGTGGACATAATGCTGTGTCACTGAGTAATTATGCAGCCCTCCAGCTGGGTTAGGAAATCACCTAAAGTGTAAATGTTCAGCTGTGTAGACTCAGTGAAGTACTTACCTTCTTTTGTACATTAGAAGTTACTTCTCTTTCCTGTTACAGTGGAAAAACAAGTGAAAATCGTCTATCTATTCACCTTAGAGGGGAAAACTGGCATCCAGAGTAAAATGTGTAGTGTCAGTGGAGAAAGGGTTTGGCTGTGGTGGACAAAGGAAGCCATGCGAGCTATGGCAGAGAGCAATGGGGGTGTTCTGCTGGGAGGGGGACTGTGTTTATATTATACAATAGTCATGTACCTCAGCTGAGCTATAAAATCCCTAATGTGAGAAGAGGAAGGGTCTTTTTTTTAATGATGTCAAGTTTTATTTGAGATGAGGATGGTGTGTGTGTATGAAAGGCAGCCTAGGATATAGCTGTCCCCCAAGCATCTTCCTTCTGTTCTTCCTATAACCAGTGATGATGCTGGGGTATGGTTCTGCATAGTGTGTGCTCCTTTGGCCCAAATAAGAGGAATCCCTGTCAGGGACTCTGAAAAGGGCTGAACCCTGACACCTGTGAGCTCTAGGTGGTGGGAATTTAAAGAGACCAATTTCATGTTTAGTTCTGAATCTGTCTCATCCTGCAGGGAAAAGACTACAGAGACTGTGTGTGTTGAGGATTGTTTAACCAGAGGTCAGCGCTTGTCCTCTGTAGTGATTCAGATAATCCCTTCCCAAATGCTCGTGTGGGGATGGTTGTCTCCTGTCCCTCTGAGGCAGAGGTGAACCAGAAAAGGAGGATGGTTCCAGCTAAGTGCTTCCAGACCGGCGCAGCCCCAGGAACGCTTATGTTTGATCCGATTCCAGCTTCTCCGACTCCTGTCTTGGCCTCCCTTCTCCCTCTCATCTACAGCATCACCTTAACTCTGGAGAGGCGTCTGTGTGGCTCTGCCAGCCTTACACTGCCAGCAGCACGAGCGCAAAGGTGGATACCTAATCTTCCACATACTTTGCAGTGATACGCAGTGCACAGGTCAGGATCTTTCTGGGGACTGTCATGGGACACGCTGCCCAGAAAGCATGTTGTTCTGGTGTCTTTGGACAAGAGCGTGAAGATGAATCAAAATAACAGTGATGCTAAGGTATGGTTAACCCATGTGTACCTTGCACCTCAGTGATGTATGCGGGTAGCTGGCTGATGGCTCTCGCATCCCATAACAAAACAGTAGGTTTTCAATAATTGTAGGGTAACCTCAGCTTGGCTATGAGTTTTGATCATACATAGCTGGGAAGTGTTCATGCGTTTACCTGCTATGTGAAGAAAGTGAGTAAAGCATGTTAAGGAAGAATAATGAAAATAAGAATTTTCCGAATGAGTGGGGGAGAGATGCTGGATATCTTGGACTACCTCAAGACATAAGGCTAACCCCAACGCTTTGCACATACCCTCTGGGATGCTTGTGCAGGTGAGAGGAGAATCTCGCCTACCCTCTGCAGTGCTGTTTGGAAGCTGACCTTTCAGCAGAGCCAGGCACTTCACACCCCATAACTTACCTCTGCTTACCATCTTGCACACAGAACCGCCACAAAGACAGACTTTGTTTGCAAAGCCCTGGGAGAAGCGGCCTCCCAGGCATTCTCCAGCTTCCAGAGACTGCCTTTGGCTTGAGCGTACATTTCTTTTGAAATTTCTAGTGAGTCCTTGAAAGAGTCAAGGA